CATCATCATTACCTCCAATATCGTCACCACCATCATCCAAATCACCATCATCATCATAACAAACATCATCATCACAATCATCATTACCATCCTCAACATCGTCACCATCATCATCGTCACCATCATCTCTCACCTTTCATCATCATCTTCATAGTAACTCATCCTCGATGATGATTGTGTAGCGGTAGGCCTCCTGCTCTTGTACGAGAGATGCTGATGTGGTGGAGAGGGTTGGTGGTGCATCTCTTCATCAGGCCCTCTGGAGTGTCGTCGCCTTCTTCCAATCAATTAATCAATCAATCAATCAATCAACCAATCAATAAATCAATCAATCGATCAATCAATCAATCAATCAATCAATCGCAAAATCAATCATTCAGTCAGTTATTCATTTACTTAGTTATTCATTCATTCATTCACATATTCATTCATTTGTTCAGTGATTCATCTGATTATTCAATCATTAATTTATTCATTGATTCGTTCGTTCTTTCGTTCACTTATTCAATTATTAGTTTGATGACTCATTCAATTAAACATTCATTCATTCACTCAATCATTCATTAACTCAGTCATTCATTCATTCCTTCATTCATTCAGATTTACAATAAATAATTCCTCAATTATTATTGAACCGTTGCAAAAAATAACTAACTTTTTGCGGTATCTGTCGCGACTGTAGTCACCACCACGACCACCACCATCATCATCCTCTTCTTCTTTGTCCTCCCCTCTCTCAAAACCCCCATCATCATCATCATCATCCTCCTCCTCCTCCACATCTTCCTCCCTATCTCTCCTGCTGTCGTGTCGCTTCGGTCGGCTGCTGTGTCTTCGACTGCTACTGCCTGTTCATAATAATAATAATAATAATAATAATATACTACTACTACTAATAATAATTACTATTATTATAATAATAATAATATACTACTACTAATAATAATAATTACTATAATAATAATAATAATAATAATATACTACTAATAATAATTATTAATATTATTATTCATGTATGGTGTAATGGTTAAGGTGCCTGGCTCTGATGTTGCAGTAACCGGGTTTGAACGCAAATGAATCCCCTCCTATAACGTGCAACGTGGGAGAGGGAATGCACGGATCAGCACGTGCTGTATGCTAGCTGATGTCGACACCTCTGGAGAGAGAATTGTGGAAAGGATTCAAACGGGAAATGGAAATAGGCCTCAACCTTTTGCTTCATTGTCCCTCCTGTCGTGAGAGCTTGTACGAGCTGTGTCTTTGCGATTACTGTCTGTATCTTTCTTTGATTTGCTGCACGCCTCTCTCTTCTCTACCTCAGCAATCTTTCGCTTCCGATGTTTACTTTTCTCTAAGACATCATCGTCGTCGTCTTCATCGTCATCGTTATCATCATCCAGGCGATGATCTCTTTTCCCGCTCGAATGTTTTCCTTTGGTCGGCTTGGACTGTTTACTGCTTCCTCGGCGACATTTCCTCCTCTCACCATCGCCTCTATCTCTCTTCCTGTTACTCTCCTCCTCCTCATCATCATCACCATCATCCTCTTCTTCTTCATCTTCATCGTTCTTTTTATGTTTGCTGTCGCTGTGTTTTTTGCTCCTCTTACTCTTAGCCTCCTCATCGCCATCAGCAGCAGCAGTAGAGGCAACTGCTGCAACCTTATCGACGGAGCTCTTCAGCTTAAGCTTGGATGATCTGTGCTTACTAACATGCTTCTTGCTACGCTTGTGATCCTTATAATCTTTATACTTCCCACCATCATCGTCGTCCTCCTCACTACTGTCCGAGTCGCTATCCAGTGAAGAACTGCTGGAGGCGGAAGAGGATTCGAGCGGGAGTTTCTTCTTCTTCATCTTCGATTTATCCCGGTGGCTACTTCTTGACGAGTGCCTTTTCCGATCCTTCTTCTTCTTCGCCTCCTTGTCGGATTGGGTTTTCTTCACCACGTTGGTGTCCGTTTTTTCAGCGGGTTTGTTGTTGCTGGTCAGTGGCGAATCTTGCGAGGTTTTGACGAGAGGCTGCTTGTCGGTCTTGTGCTGCTGCCTCGAGTCGGTTGCATTCGAGATGACGGCGGTTGCCGTGCTACACGATGAGGTCGTTGTTGATGTTGCAGCAACTGTTGCAGATGAATTGGATGATGGTTTTTTGCTCCTTTCCTTGCTGCTCGACTTCCTGGATGATTTTTTATCCTTGGATGATCTAAAGTGGATTCGGTAAATTAATTTTTCAATCAATCTCATTAAAAAATAAATCAACTGGTCAGAGTTTAAGAACAACTTGCATTCGGTTATGCTTAATTACAAAATAATAAATAACAAACAGGTTGAGTGAATTAAAATGGGAACATTTAGATGAAATAAAAAAAAATGACCCAGCCAGCAAACTGAACGACCCCCCGCGCGTCCGATTGTGAAGTCTTCTTCCTGGAGGAGATGGTTGATCATTTCCTTTTGTACTGCTTGAAGAAAGGATTAAAAGTAAATGAAAAAATGAATGAAGATTGAAAATATATAACCGAGAAAGCTTTTAATGGGTTTAATTGCTATGCAGTTCCACAATGCCTCAAGCATGGAAACCTAACGATAGGAATTGAACTAAAGCACTTAGTCCGGAAGAAAGCAAGCAATCACGTCATCAGGGTTATGGATAAATCAAAATTGAACTATAGCATTCGAACCAAATGACATTGAAATTAATTAAATTAACATCATATAATTAATAATATCAACAAAGTTAATTATCATCATATAATTAAATAATAATAACATAATAATAACTAATAATATATAATAATTATTAAATAATTTATTAATTCAATAATTAATTAAATAATTATCCACATAAAATTACATAGAACCAGCATTTATTCACTCTCTGCAGATTGACATGCTCCTTTACAAAAAGTAACAATGCCTCTACTAAAGTTACATACACACACACACACGCACACACACACGCACAAACACACACAACATCACTCAAACAAAACCCAACTTTATCAGATGTTTTAGAGCCGCTATCGGTATGAGATTTCTTGTAAGAAGTTCCACCGGTGACATCGAGTTTATCGATCGATGCTAGCAGTGATGGTATTGCTGGCTGCTGTCGTTGCTGTGATGAAGCAGATGTCGTCTGCTGCATCTGAGCTGCGCTGCTTCCGCTCTTGGAGTCTGACTTCTTACTCCTACTCGACGACCTCTGTCTCTGATTATGAACACGAACATTGTTCGAACGTATATAATGGGTGAGAAATATTTTCATCATCTAGCTGGCACCACCATCATAACCATCATCATCATCATAATCATTATCATCATCTGGCTAGCACCACCATCATAAACATTACCATCATCACCATCATAATCATTATCATCATCGTCATAGTCATTATCATCATCTGGCTAGCACCATCACCATAAACATTATCATCATCATAATCATTATCCTCGTCATAATCATTATCATCATCTGGCTAGCACCATCATCATAAACATTATCACCATCATAAACATTATCATCATCTAACTGGCACCATTATCCTCCTCATCATCATCATCATAATCATCATCATGCTTTAATTACCTCTTTGTCTTCTTTTTTGTCCTCTTTTTCTTTCGCTTTCGATTTATCAGAACTTTTTTCCCTGCAGATTAATTCAATTTTTTAACTTCAGCATAAGCCATAAATAAACACAATTAGAGATTTTAACTAATTAATTAAAAAATTAAATTCTATTTAGATTTAAATTAGATTTTAAATTAAAAGTATCATAAATGAATAAGTAAATTAATTAAAAAAATATAAATAACTGATAATTGAATAAAAATTAAATGTTAAAAATATTTTATTTAAAAATAAAAATGATGGATGAATACTTTTTATGATCAAATGGACATTTGGACCCGACCTCACACTTCCCTGATTTTGATAGAGAGGGACATGGACTCATCGGTGCCTGACAACAAATTATTTTCATTTAATTTTAATTAGAATTACAAAAAAAAATTAATAATAAATAAAAATGTATGTAAGCAGTATGCAGATTTAATTTTTGCTATCAGTAATATTCTAAAAAGCTAAATAATAGATAAGCATAAACTATTTAAGTATTTATTTTTTAAAAAAGCTTCTACTCCAAAAGTCTAAAAAACTAAAAAACAAAACATATTATTATTTATTAAATTTACATTTTATTAGTATTATTATAACATTTTGAAAAAATTGAAATTAAAAATTCAAAATTTATTGATTTAATTAATTGTAATTGATATTTTTAAACTTTAATTAAAAAATTAAAAATAAATATAAAAACTAAAAATGTAAAAACTAATAAAAAGCAACCTTGTGAGATTTGGATCCGGGTCCCAGCCGATCAAAAACGCTCAATTTGTTCTGTTCTTTAATTTTGAAACTAATGCTCATGTCTTCAAATTACGGACGTACGATTAGTGAAAAATCAGCGATTATTTGATAAATAAAACCAGTCCAAAACGAAAGCAGATCTTTCGGCCTAACGCTGGATAAGCTGGAACGAGAACAATTTTTAAGCGAAAAGTGAACTTAACGCAAACTCACACTTTCCATGCAAATGATTTATTCCTTTACATACCAAATTTCCATATCAAAGATATTTAAACATTACCGTCATTTGTAAAGAATTTTAATGTATCTTTGGTTTAAATAGCGGAAAACAGTATTTTTGTTCACATACTATGTGATCCAATAATGAAATGCCGATCTAATGGATTAAACATCTTTAATATATACTTTATGCTATATAATAAGCAGTTTTCCTATACAGATGAGTATAAAACGACCCAAAAATCATCATTTACGAATCTGACGTTTCAAACGAGTCTGTATCATTCAACTCTTAAAATTAGCAGGAACAAAATAGATTTGATATTGGGTAAATGTAATGTGTAAATAAGATTATAAGCATCCGAAGATTTTAGACCTGACTTTATTAACGTGCATCTTAAATATTGCAAGACCTACTACAACTTCACAATAGATGTAGACGATTCCGTCGCTTCAAATCTGCCTTTTCATCAAAAAATTTCACTGATTAATATAGAGAAAAACCAATTAAACCACAAACATCTTATATTACATTAAAAATACAAACAGACAAATGAAAATAAATAGATAGATAGAATGAAAGGAGAACTACAAATCATTTTTGATGATAAAATACAAATCGGCGATGAAGACGACGGTCCCTGATATCAATCCAGCCATCAGTTGCTGCGATGTGGAAGTTATTATTAATCACTAGAGGAAAAATACTAACTACTTTTAAAAAATTTAGTTCATTAATTAACGATTAATTCTAAAAGCTATCCAAATATCACTACGATATCTTTCCAAGAGAGTAAAGGCGCGATAAAGAAAAGACACCTGGTATTTTTTCCACTGAGAGTGCCGTGCCGAGTTCGAATACGACAAAAAGATTCCCGCCTATGACATGCTTCGTGTGATGCGTCGTTTGGCATGTATTTATATATGCTGTTCGTGTGTTGATGACTCCTCTGAGTCTAGGAAGACTGTAATTGTCCTTTAACTTGCTAAAAATATTGTATCAACGTTTGAAATGTATGACCAAATATTTATTATTTAGCTTATATTCACGTATTTTTAGCGCTAAGATGCCAGTTAAGATAGAGTATGATGCTAGCCTGACAAAACGATGCTCAAAGACTGAAGGAGTACTTGGGTCTATTTTGCCCTAAAACCATTTTCAACGGCTTAGATACAAAAATTAGGAACTATCTTACTTTAAATTTGAATGGCAGTGCCGAATTGTGTTAAAAATTATTAAAGAGTTGGACGTTTGTGGGAACTGGTAAAGTTTCTCTGCTAATAAGCATAGGTGAGTTACAAAACAATTATTTCAAGAAAACTATTGACTGTGAGAGCTAAAAGGTAAAGCTTGTAGACCCAGAGTAAAGAAACAACTTGTACTAATATTACCTAAATTAAAAAAGCACAAAAATGATAGGGAAAAAATAAAAACAACATGAAATTAATGATTCATAAGTATCCAAATTTACCATAGCTATATTAGGCCCGATTGCATATTCAGTGGCTTTGTAAGCAAATGCAAACATGCACATGCACGTTAATAAGAAGTTGAAGATTGTTATCAGCTGTCTGTTTAGCTGCTTGTCTGTGTGTGTGTGTGTAAGTGTGTGTACGAGTTCGTTTATGTGTGTAGGTGAGTTTTCAGTTTAATTAAACTTCAGTTTTAATGCGATAAACTTGAATATAAAGTTGCCAAAATGTCAGCCTAATTTTTATTGGAAATCCATTTTTAAATTTAAACCTTAAATATGATTTACTAATGATTATTAAATAACCATTAATTTCTAATAATCCAAGAAATATATTTTGAATAAAATTTGAAAACGTACATTGTTTGCCTATCGATTCTTCATTGATCTGGAAAAAATTTTTTAAATAATAATAATTTACAAATTAGATTCTAATTAAAAAAACTTTCAGTTAGAAAAATTTATTTAAATAAAATATTTATTACTAACAATTAATGAAATAACCTAAGTAATTTTTAAATGAATGGATTGATAAAAAGATATATAATTTATGATAATTTATTTTCTAAAAATAGCTAAAATAGTTTAGGAAAAATTTAAGCAAAAGTTAATCTAACACTCGGCTTGTTGGTGACATTTTTGACCATCTCTTTATATTCTTTCTCCCTCTGCTCTGCTTTCAACCTTTCAATTCTGGCTTCCAATTCTGGGTTCTTTATACATAATGATAACAGTGCATATAAAGTAATAAAGTATAAGTTTGATTTTGTAATGGTTAAATTGCCTGGAACTGCTGCTGCAGTGACCGGGTTCAAATGCAAAGACTCCACACTTATCACATGTGCTATGCTGTGATTGTGTGTGTGTGTGTGTGATGTGTGTGTGTGTGTGGTGTGTGTGTGTGTGGTGTGCTGGTAAAACCTCTCAGACTTGGAGAAGAGCGTGTGTGTGTGTGTAAGACTTGGAGGAGAGTCTGTGTGTGTGTGTGTGTTGGAGAATTGCAGAAAAAAAGTAAGAAAAAATGATCCTGATTATAAGAACAAATTATTGATTTTATTTTCTTTTAAAGAAATTTAAATTTAAAGAAAAAAAACAAGATACCTACCCTTTCTCTTTCAGGTGGTTGTGGAAGAATGATTCTAGCACCATCCAGTACCTCGTGAATGTACAAACCTTTTTTTTTAATTCAGGTAAAAAACACGGCAGATCAACACTTTTAGGTCATAGTTTAGTTAGACTTTAATACTATTATATAGTTATAAATGTAATTATTGAGTATATTAATAATATTGAACACTAAACAATAATTAATCAATGAATTAATAAATTAAGTACTAGTTACATTTCGTGCTTATTTAATAATTATCAAATAATAAATTATATTCTTACTGCAATCTTTTATACATAATTATTCTTGTATTATATTATAATAAAAAAATTATATTGTTTATTTCTTACCAACTTTAGCCTACTAACTATTCTATTCTATTGCTTGCTATTTTTACCCATTAGTCTTTTATTATTTATTATCACAATAATAAATAATATATTAGCAATAAATAAAATATAATTATAATAGGATAGTATTATAACTAATAACTAATTATAGTATGTACTGTACAATAACACATTATGCTACCTAACCTACCTGATTCATCCTGTGTGTAGAAAGAGTAGACATTTTTCAAAAACTTGAATGGAATTGTCGAACCTGTCTCTTCGAAGCTGTCAATCTTGTCTTGAATGCATAGCCTCATGTCTGAGGGCACTTTCTCGCATCTCAAGGAATTGCTCAACCAGAACCTAATCCGTTCTGTGACTGTGACGCAGGTCTCACTAGGCGAACATTCTTCCTCCATTTATTTATTTATTTATTTGAATCAAATGTCAGAAATTATAATAAAAATATTACTTTGTGTCTGATTAGTTAACAAAAACGCGCCATTTTCTGCTAGAGACGGCCAACAACATTAAGAAAACCGGTTTTCAGATTTTAAACTCTTAGTTTAGGTTCACATTTAATATTATATTTATTGCTGTAGCGTTTCATTATTTTTTAAAAACTCATTTATGCAATGTACTTATAACCATGGATTTATATAATATTTATAATATAATATAATATTTATATTCATGCTTATGACACCTATATTTTTCTATAATACTCATTCAATTGATTCTTTTCAAGTTTTTTATAGGTTTTAAAAGCTGAAGTTTTTCAAAGTTTCGAAAAATTGGATGATTAAATTATTTAATTTACTTGATTTAGATAAGTTTATTAATTTTTTTACGTAGTGAAAAACAGCATATAGGCCTATCAATAAAATTCATGTCATTTCCCTACAACATGATTGTTCTGATAGACTTGACTGCAAACACCTCGTTAAATGTTTCATTACTACCATTATAGCCTCAACAAAACAATATTATTCTTAAAAAATAAGTAGAATTTAGATCAAAATTAGCCGTGACTTTAAAAAATTTGCTTGACAAAACATTCACGCAAATGTTTGTAAAAAAATCATTTATTTTAATATAGAGCACGCTGTTAAAAACTTAAGGAACATTTCATATTTAGTTATAGTCATTTAAACACTTGGAGTTATTTGTGGCGATCTAGAAATGAAGACTAGCATCAACCTAAAGAAGATATACTGTAATAAATTACTGATTTCATGGTTTAACCATGAATATATATAATACATCCATGGATTTAACTTATTCATTTCATTCTGATTTAACAATCCCCTTTTCCGCAGCGTTTTTTTGTTTCAAAATAGTAGTAGAACATATACATTTCTATTGCATCCTAGAGTAAATATAAAAATAGAAGTATTTATTAGGTAATTTTTTTAAACGAATTTTTAAAATAATTTATAACAAATTTTTTCAACCTGCTGATGCATCTTGACACCAGAGGTTGACATTTAAATTTGTCCCGTTAAGCAGCAAGCAGTGTACTTCTACATAAAATTCCACATACATAGACAGCATCCGTGTGTATGGTATATGTATACGTGTTGTATGCAATAGCGTTGTATATATCTGCATTGTATTGTATATGCGTATATGAGTGTTGTATGTATGTATGTATGTGTGTTTGTATGTATGTATGTATGTATGTATGTATGTATGTATGTATGCATGTATGTATGTATGTATGTATGTATGTATGTATGTATGTATGTATGTATGTATGCATGCATGTATGTATGTGTGTGTATGTGTGTGTATGTATGTATATATGCATGTACGTATGTATGGATGTATGTTTTATATGAAATAAAAAGGTATTGTATGTATGCATGTTTGTATACATGCATGCGTGCATGCATGTACCCCTGGAATGAGACCTCCATCAAAGACATGGCCAACTTGATTGAATTTTTTTTATTTTTTTTCTACCTAATTGCCAAATAAATGGAGTTGTTTTTATTTGTTGGTGAAGTTATTACGTTACATATTTAACTAAAATTTGAAAAAGAATCTTGCTGCTGTTTTTACTTGAGATTATGAGCTAGTTTCATATTTAAATATGTTTATCAAACTATAAATATTAAGTGGATTAATAAAAAAAACTGACAATTTTTGGAGATATAAATTCAATTTAATTTAAATTTCATGAATACTCTTTCATGAATAATCTAAATTAATCTGAAGTAACTTGAATAAATCTGAATGGAATAGCTAAATAAATAAATTGAATGAACAAATAAATAAACAAATAAACGAATAGATAATTAAAAATAAATTCAAATAAAAAACATTTCGAAAAATAAAATCCTGCTATAGGAAGCAACGCTGGTTTAAATGTTTTAACGAGGGAGTGGATGACCTTTTAAGATGACCAGTGTCAGAGAAAAGGTCACCAGTCAGGAGGGCTTCAACGCTGGCCTGGTGGTCGACGACGAGATCCTATTTGACGATGTCTATGAACTGAGGGAAATAATTGCCAGGTTGGTTTCTGATTTTGATTTGCTTGAGACTGTTAAGGGTAAGGCTAAAACTGTAAAGGGTAAAACAACTAAAGGTAAAACTTTTAAGGGTGAAACTTTTAAGGATGAAACTGCTAAGGGTAAAAATCAGCTATGGGTAAAACTTTTAAGGGTAAAGCTGTTATAGGTGAAGCTTTTAAGAGAAAAAATAAACATCAGCCCTGGTTTTAAGGCACACAGTAGTTTTTAAAGCTTAACAACAATTACTAGATCTACTTTTTTCCGAAAATTATGGAGGCCTACGCATCCACCAACGCCCCAGCGGCACGGATCTCGAACTTTGTCACCGTTTAGTTTTTATTTATTTATTTACTTTTTTGATGAAATAGTTTTCGAGTTGAATTAAAAATATTCAATAATTTTAGCAATTAAAACTCTCTTTTATTATATGTATCTGAAAATAAAATGAAAAGATGTAAATATTTAAAAAAAAGTAAATATAATACAGGGGTGGGCAAACTACGGCTATTTTATGTATGCGGTCCGCGAGGCCTTGTTCGCCACGCCAAAAAAAGCTCGCCAGCCTGACATTATGACCAAAAAAAGAGCCACAAATCTCTAAAACACATGAAGCCCTTCAAGGGTAAAATAGTTTTCAATGAGGTCCCCACTGCAAAAAGTTTGCCCACCCCTGATATAAAATCATGCAATACAACGTTTATAATAATTGAAACTATTAAAATTAAACTCAAAATTATTACTATCATTTTTTTCATGTTTTCAAATGATGTTACTTCTAAAAGGTCAAGACTGTGGAAGTAGAAGTCGACATTATAAGAAATAACTATTCCTACCGCATGAAATGTTTTTACAAATCGTATTATGGTTTTGAGACAAATTTTCGAGTTTGGTTTCATTTTAATTTTGAAAGAAAATACACCAATAAAGAATGGTTTTGCAAACTATGTTTATGTGTTACTCCAACGAAACATTTATTAAATGCGTTATTGTCTGTTCCCTTTAAAAAAAACACATCAAACTACAAGGCTGATTAGCTTAGTTAGAGGACAGTTTGCTCTGAAAATTGCTTCATAAATTTTAATTTCATTGCAACCAATTGGTCATTGAGGGTTATATAATGGTGGCAAAATGTTGTTTTATTTTCTTATCTCGATGGGATCTTGAATGCTTTCTACTTTAGTTGAAGATTCAAAGTCTGACCTGAATATATTATCCTCAGTGCAATGAAAAATTTTTGTTCGTTTTTCAGCCATCTAACATCCTAAAGAAAAATTTCTAGTCTATGATTTAGTCTTGACCTTAGAGGCAATTTTTTAGAATTTAGATGTATTCTGCTACATGGGCTTCACTGCTTCAAATGCTTGCCGACTTTTCTTGGCGTATCGTTTTTCGAAATTTTTTGCCTCTGATTTAAGGACCTAATCAGTTTGTTTGCGTTGGATATATTATATTATTATTATTATTTTATTACATATTATTATTATTTATGTTATTGTTATGATTTTTATTGATAGGATTTGTAATCTGATTTTGAGGTTATTATCACTTGCTAACATTAGCGAGCTTTATTGACGTTCAAACTATAAAAAAACTAGAATGGATTGAATTTAAAATTCGCCGCATGTATGCCTATCAAAGATTTTTCAATTCCACAATCGATCATGTAAAATTATAAAATGTGAATTGCCATTACCAGAGATCAGACTAACACCTTTACAACAGAAATAAGTTTAATTTCTCAGAAATGAACGTCAAAATTTTTTAAAAGATTTCAAGTGCAAATATTATTCCTCCAAATAAATTGAATCTCTCAGAAGGCATTGGCTTTCCTGATCCTTTTAAATTAGAAATTGGAATATCTCTCCTCTTTTGATCATTGCTAGACGAGAATTATTTTTTTGCATGTTATTTTTTTGCTCGGTTTTTGTTTTTCTTTTCGTTGTTTTTTTTCGGTGTTTGTTAGTTATTTCGTTGGAAAAAGTTTAGTTGTAGAGTTTTTACGTTGGTAGATTGGGTGTGTTTTTCCAAATATCATCATAAACAGTATCCAATGCGTACTCTTGCATAGGTAAATGCATAAATCGCCCCATGCACACATCAAACATCGGTGGTTTTCTACGGCAAGAAGACATTATGGAATTGAATGAACTGTAAAACTTTCTAATGGGTGATAAACTCTAAAACAGTCAATTATTTTGACCACAGCTATGGAAACATGCCGCAATAACAGCAGGCAGAACAGAGCTCTAAATCATGACTTTACTGCCAAATCAATAGCAATATACTCGCAAGTAATGATTAAAAATTTCATTTGCTCCAACTTTAGAAGTATTTTATTATTCCATTTCGTAGTTTTGGGTCAGTTTTATTGTCCTGCATATGTGGTCTCGCGTCGGCACTTTATAGTTATGCCTCGCTATGTCTTTACGTTGTTTATTCAAAGTATGCGTGTACCTACGTAGGCCTATGATGCTGGTCGGAATGCACTTTGTTTTGTCTCTCTGTTCCTATATAAAATGTGAGTGCTTGCATATTTAAATGCATTCTGAGAGCTTTCGTGCAATGGTTTTGCTTTGGCAGAATTTTCATTTTCATTCATTTGCACTTCAATACATTCTGCTGTTTTATTCCAGTTTGGAATATATGATTGAGGATGCACACTAGGGTAGTTACAACGCTATATGTAAAAAAAAAATTTTGAAATCTTATCGGGGGGACCCCCTAAATTGTGCCACTTGACTAAAAAATGACATTTGTAAAGTTTTAGCTCAATTGGATAATGCTAACCCGTGCCTTATCGAGGTTGAAATTTCGAAAAATTGGAAAATTTTGAAAAAAAACGCAGTTTTTGGTTTGTAAAATAAAAACGGTTCACTCTACATGATTTTGGTTTTATTTTGTTC